CGTTAGTCGATCAGATGGTTTACCCTATAGTCTGGGATCCCCCTGGATCCCACTTACTCCTGTAAGAATTAGTCTTAAGACAGTTCTACACAATATATTGTATTCGTCTCCTCTTACCGAGTCCTTGTATCTTACCCGGTTGATAGGCCCTACACCTAAGACTAGTATACCTTTACAATTCTAATTCTTCTTCTTTAACTGCTTGAGATACAATAGCTCCTCGTACTAGAATATCAGTTCCTGATAAGCTAAGGGAAAACCCTCGAGCCAGTAACGATCCGGAATTAACTCTATCAGCAGAAGGGGAGGAACCCCTATCGGTTTCCTAAAACCTCGAAACCCCGGATCTATAGGCCGAACCAATAGGCCAAACCCCTAAGTAAATTATAATAACTGTAGCTTAACTATAGGAAACGATCCTTTAACTGGAGAAATAAGCTGAGCTGCAAAATCGACTTATTGCAGTATAAAAGCTCCTCGCAGAGAACAGGAAGGAGCTAAATCGCCACCGAAACGGTCGCGAACCCTCAACGGAAAGCGAACAAAGCCAGAAAGGGGAGATTAAGCGAGATATCGAAAAATTCGAAGAGAGTTTCGGTATCCGACAGAGAGAGGAATAGCTAACTGACCTTAATACGCTTTTCAAAGGCGCGCCTAAGAAATATATCTCGGATTCCTAGAAGGTCCTTACCGCTGAAAACTACCTCTGTAGTTCCTACAAAAATAAGTGGTAAAATCATTTATTAAACTACCCTAAAGACGAAAAGGACTGGGAAGCTTTTAAAGAATAGATAAAAACCCTACTTTATAACTCCTATAATATCGTTACCGATATCCTTGTCCTCTACTAAAAAGCCGAGATACGTCCGAACCAGGACCTACGCGCTTTCGCCCACTATCTCGTATTACTAGAGAAACACCTCCTAGCCTAAACCGAAGAGCAGAGGGCTTAAGCCCTATTTATAAAATATACAAAACCGCTTCGAGACCAAATTATTACTATAACTAACGGAGTGTTACCTAAGATAAGAGCGCTTATAGAATCAAAAGTATCGATACTCTGGAACGTATACTTCTCGGGCCAAAAAAGGAAAGAATATCCTATACCTACCCCGGATAGGCGGAAGAAGGGAAACTACACCGACTCGATAACGAATCAATCCTAATCCAACACCTTATTATTAGTAAACCCTAAGCCCCGTAGGGGACGTAGGGGCTTTAGAGGTATAAATCCGAGAGGAAGAGGCTAATCCAGAGGCCGGGGTAGAGGTCGAGGAGGATTAAAATCCTACGCCTCCGGTGTAAACACTACCCCTACCGAGAGGGGAAATAGCCCCGATTCGGTATAGACTGGTGCTTATTACCTCTGTAGAGATAAGGGTCACTGGGCGAACGAATACCCCTAAAAAGTAACAGTACAATCACTCGTCTAAGCCTTACGCTCCAATACCCTAAGACAGTCGGGAAAAGTGGAAGAGCTGGGGTAAACCCCGACGCACTAGCTCTGTACCCACTGATCGGGACCGTAACACGCCTATATACGCTAATTACTCTCGATAACGGTGTCAAAACCTATACGGACCTAGATACTGGTACCGAATACAACGTAGTTAGTAAGGAATTCGCTCGTAAGAATCAATTACTCGCCGCCCTATTTTCGTCCCTGTCTCTAAAGGGTATCGCTCCTAAAAGACTCTGTACCCACGGGGTATTCTGGGTCTCCTTTTCAATAAGAGACTCTAGAGGAACTAAGAAAACAGTTAAAAGGCCCTGTATAGGTATTGAAAGAGACCCCCGTATAGAAGGGAGCCCAGTACTGTTATCCCGTACTTTTATCAATAAATTTAATATAATCCTCCGCCCTAGTATAGATAAGTGGTGGTTCGGAATCAAAACTTTCGAGCTTATAGAACCCCACCGCTTCGCAAAATTATCAAGGAATACGGCTGTTGTTTACGCCCTAGTGAAAATACCGGAGTAAGTCTAGTTTCCAGACGAGAGCGGGGATCACCCCTACCTTAACCTATTACGAATACCCCCCGAACTGGAGGTGTATCTCGATATATTCGACCACGAAAAAGCAGGGGAACTACTAATTGTAAAAGCTTCCGACTATACAATCGAACTCGAAGAAGGGAAAACCCCACCTTATAGTCCAATCTATCCCCTTTCGTGTGTAGAACTAAAAGAGCTATAGGCCTACCTTATAGACAATATCAAAAAAAAAAAGGATCTAACCGTCTAAGAGTCCCGCCGGAGCACTAATCCTCTTTGTGCTAAAAAAGGACGGTGGATTACGCTTATATATAGACTACCGGGGTCTTAACCGTGTTTCGGTTAAGAATCGCTACCTATTGCCTCTTATCTCTGAAATCCTAGATAGACTCTTAGGTACGCAATACTTTAGTAAGGTTGATATTAAAGACGCCTACTATTGTATTCGTATATAAGAAGGTGACGAATAGAAAACCGCCTTCCGAACAAGGTATAGCCACTTTGAATATATAGTTATACCTTTCGGTCTATCTAATACGCTAGCCACCTTTCAGAGCTATATCTATACAGTATTGAGTGGGCTAGTCGATATCGTTTGTGTGGTGTATCTGGATAATATCTTAATCTTTACACCCGACCGGGAATCCTACACAAAAGCACTACACTAAGTTTTCGAACGATTACGAAAAGCAGAGCTTTACGTAAAACCTTTAAAATACACCTTCTACTAAAAGGAGGTTAAATTTCTAGGATTTATCGTTAATAGCGATAGAGTACAGATAGATTAAGACCGTATTCGCGTTATCTAGGAGTAGGAGGAACCGAAAAGTTACTATAATATCTAGGTATTCTTAGGGTTCTGTAATTTCTACCGTCGATTTATCAAAGGATACTTATATATCTCTTTACCCCTTACGGTAATACTAAAGGGGTCAAAAAATAGAAAGAAGCCTAGAAAAGTGGTACTTAGCGACCACGAATCGATAGCGTTCCTACGATTAAAATAGGCCTTTTAGTCGGCGGCCCTATTACACCACTTTAATCCTAAAAATAGAGAGAACTATATAACGAATTGAATATACTATTCGACGTCGGGGATACTACTACGGTGGTAATCTAGTCTATCAGTATAGATACTGAAGACGTTCTTAAATAGGTAGAAAGGCTATAAGCCGAAGACCCAGAGACTATCCGCCGAAAAGGGGATATCTCGGTACAGAAACCTAGCAGTAAGGGCTGGTTAGTCGACGACCTCGGTGTACTAAGGTACCGGGGACGTATATATATCCCGAAAAAGGAAGGGATTCGTACTAAGCTGCTACAAATATATTATAATAACCCTATAGCCGGCTATTTCGGCCGCGCTAGAACGGAGGAATTGCTAAAACGCAATTACTATTAGGTATATATATAAGAAGACGTAAAGAAATACGTTAAGTCTTATAGGATCTGCTAAATAGCGCAGACACTAAGGTATCGGCCTTTCGGTAAGCTCGAATCCCTACCGATCCTATCTCGACCCTTTACCGAATTGTTAATAGATTTTATCACAGGATTACCTCAATCGATCTAGAAAGGAAGGATAGTCGATACTATTTTGGTGGTTATAGACCGTTTCTCGAAATAGTGCCTTTTCTTCCCGGTTTTAACTACAATAGACGCTGCAGAATTAGCCGAACTATTCTATTAAGAAGTTGAACTGAAGTATAGACCACTAAATAGTATTGTATCCGACTAGGGATCTGTCTTTATAAGCAGATTTTAGTCAAAACTGTATTATTTATCCTAGGTAAAACTTAGGTATTCGACCGCGTTTCACCCTTAAACCGACGGGTAAACGGAACGGATAAACTAGACCCTAGAGCACTACTTACGATACTTTATCGACGAACAGCAGAAAATATAGCCTTCGTTACTAAGAACAGCCGAATTCGCTTATAACAACGCTGTTAGTACTATAATAGGAATATCACTATTCTAGGTATTGTTAGGCTTTAACCTAAATTTTCAAATATACACCGAGGACAGCAGCGCAGAAAGGGAGGTACCGGTAGTATTAACTCGCGTCTAAAAGCTTACAGAGCTACGAGAAAAGCTGTAGGATTTATAGCGAAAAGCTACCGAGTCGTAAGCGACTAACTACAATAAGAGATATAAGGAAATATTACTTAAAAAGAACGACCTTATAGTCCTGTCTATAAAGAATCTACGCCTAAAAGAAGGTACCACAAAGAAGCTATCCCCACGATAGATCGGCCTATTTAGAATCCTCGAATATATCGGAAAGTAGATATATCGCCTCCTACTCCCAGACCAATACGCTGCGATTCACAATATATTCCCTATCCAGCTCTTATAACTATAGTAGCAAAGAGAAGGGGAACCAGAGAAATTACCCCTACCGGAATTAGCTGATAATAACGAATAGGAGGTCGAAGAAATAAAAGACGACTAGATAATCGAAGGAGGACTACACTACCTTATAAAGTGGACAGGATAGCCCTCGGAATATAACCAATAGGTTCCTGAAGACGCTATAGCGAATACCCCGAAAGTTATTACAAGATATAAGAAATCTCAGAAGAAATAATAACTTTGATCAGAAAAGGGGCTACCGAATATACTAAGTATCGGCGCCGAACAGACAGCGAAATAAAGGGAATCCAGAGATACCTCACTATACTAGGAACCAGAACGTAAGAAAAACAAAGTGTACACAGAGACTATACCGAATCGGTATCCGAACAGTCCCGTTACAAACTCTAAGAGAAAGGAAAACCCTGTATTAAGGTATCTAACTGGGTGCGAATACCCCTAGTAACCCTAGACTCGGCAATAGTAGTCTTACAGCGGGAACAGAGAATTATAATAGCACTGTGCTAGGTAGAGACCGACTCCTTATCGTTAATCAGCCGAACCCGAGTCGAGGCCTCTACAGTAAGACAGTCCCACTCACCGACTATAAGACAGAGGTCGCGAGAGACACAAGAAGTACGGGCGTTAATCTATATATCGTAGGACGTATACACAGCCTAGAGGAAGGGTAAACCGTTAGTAAACCAATTATAAACCGGGGAGAGTTCGATAAGGACTTACAGCGGGGATACGGGTCCCAGCTAGATTATATAAGTAACGGTAGTTTTTAACGAGGTTATTAAAGCTACCAGTGACCTCGCGGATTAAGACCGAAACGTAGGTAACCAGCTTATAAGGAAATAGGAAGTAGACCTCGTTTCCCTTATCGTCTTCCTCGTTATCTAACACACTATACCGGCCTATATTGTTACACCAGAACTCCTTAGCCCACTCTAAGACAGATAACAGTTCGAACCTATTCCTAGCTATACCGTCCGGAACCTAGGGACACAATATTAGGACGAACCGGAAGCGGACCCTGATCGAGAATATATAGGGTACTTACAGACTCGTACACTTTTTTCTGCCGAGCACAATACTAGTAAGATTTACTGTTAGGGGTATCCGAGAAGTATCGAATTACTAAGGGGGAATCGGTACTGTTAGGCTGCTTAGGCCAATCGCGAGTAGAAATACGTAGACAACCTATACACTGAGTCCGCTGTCGCAGGACCGGTACAGTAAGTTGCTTACGCGGGGAAGGACGAACTAGTGGTATACTGAAACGTATAAGAAGAAACTGTAAAGTAATATTAGACCGGTACCGACTCGGTACAAGAACGATAGCCTTACTAGTGTAAGAAGAACGCGTTACTGTTAACGAAGTAAGATTGTTAACAAAAAGTAAGAGATATACAGAAGGAGAAGTAGAAAGTGAAAACTCTTTAATTGAAAACAAAGCTCTACTTATAAAGACACCAAACGGTAAGAGTATACGAAATATAGTAACTACCTAAACCGGAAGTCGTACCTTCCTATCGGGACCTAATATCGAAACTACTACCAATACTCAACGTATCGACACCGCCTTATCTAACTCCTTTATAACTCCGGTATTGGAAGAGGGAACGTATTTATATACGCGTCCAGCACAGTCTAAAGGACTAAGGGCCCTCCGACAACAAATAACGTCCGGATAGTATTATAGTATTCCCGCAATAAATCACTCTTCGAGACTGACTATTGTATATATCCCTTATCCCCTTCCTAGAGACGCTGGCTAGACTCTATACGATATCGGTGCTAAGCCGATATAGGAGTACCCTAGGTAGGCCGCGTTAAAGGATTGGGATAGGACGCACTCCGCCCCTCTACGTACCTACAGTATCGGGATAAGGCTTTCTGCGATTAGTTAGCGAGTCGTCAGCGAATTGGAATCGACTCTATACTACTTACCCGACTGATATCCCTCTTCGCTGTGGCCCTAATATTATACTAGGCCTAGTGCGCAGTGTGTATATAATCAAAATCCTGAACTATCTTTATCGTAGTATAATTGATACTAGTGATAAATACTGGGTTAGCACTGAAGTATCTATTCGCGGGGGTATATATCTAGGCGACCTATTCGAGTATCGCTTCTAAATCGGTAGCGTTACCCTATATCCCCTCGGTAGGACGGTCGCAATTTACTTTTCGCTGTATATACTACTGGTATTTCTTAGTGCCTTCTTCGTTTAAGTAACACTCGATCTTAAAGACCGCTGTCGCTGCAGTTAGATCGAAGTCACTTATTGAAGTGCGTAGGCACTTTATACACTAAGTATATTTCAACTGGATACGGTTAGCACAAACAATAGGCGCTATAATAAGAATAACAAAGATAAAGTTGAGAGTCTATTCTGTATAAGAAACAGGGTGGCTAAATAGCCTCTACGGAACAAAGAAGTTTACCTACAGATTTTCTTCAAAGAGCGGCCTTATCCTAATTATATCTCTTTGCGGGAACCCGCTACTGTTCTATCGGTGAAACGTTTTTAACTGCAGAGATTCGCGGATAGGGATATCCGCCCTGAGAGGAGGAGATAATTGTAACGGATAAAGATCCTTACAACCTAGAGACTAACAATACGGGAGTCAGCTGATATAGGACCAATATATAATCAGCCAAGTATCGTGACCTGATCGTGAGGGGTTCGTTATATAACGGCCACGTCAGTCGATCAGATAGTTTACCCTATAGTCTGGGATCCCCCTGGATCCCACTTACTCCTGTAAGAATTAGTCTTGAGACAGTTCCACACAATATATTGTATTCGTCTCCTCTCACCGAGTCCTTGTATCTTACCCGGTTGACAGGCCCTACACCTGAGACCAGTATACCTTTACACTATTGGTCTGGAGACGGAAGAAATTATCGCGACGTTGGGGGCTTATATTAATAAATATAGTAAGCCCTCGAATCTAGATAGTTATTAGATATATTAAGTGATAAACAAAGTGATACACTTACCTTAATAAGGGTTTATATAATAACTTATTCACTCTGTGAAGCACGGAGTGATCGAGCTTAGGCTTAAGCTTAGATATCAGAAATATTCCGATCTGTGGTATCGTTCTGGGGATCGGCCTTCACCGATCTAAGTAGCTCGCGAAGGCTTAGCTGGATAATATATATAAGACAAGGGATTCGAATAACCACCGGGCTATTCGGTAGTTTAAGGGAGTCAATAGAGTCTTGAACTACCTATACTAAAGTTGTGTTATTTAACGCGTTATCTGATATAATCGCTAATATACGATCAGTAATATTAAGCTTCTTAAAGATCTCTATAAGTACTTCACTTAGATTCACACCAGAATACGCCCTATTAAGTGGTTCGAAACTAAGTAGGAGCTTACAGTAATTCTAGTCTCGGTCGATAAAGTACCCTGTGATTGCTATAAATATCTGCTGAAAAGGCGATATCCAGCAGTCGAGGGCAATTAAGAGCTTTGTATCTTATAGTAAGGTAGCGAGAATTGAATATTACTCCTCGTCGACTAATTTCTTGAGCCGGCGTTAAGCAGTGCGAGGATAGAGTAAAGTAGGTTTAGCTGGAGCCTTTTGTACTATTTGAATTAAGGAAGCAAATTGCTTCCTCTTAAGTATCCGGAAAGGGAGGCTTAGACTAGTAAGATATTCAATCTGCTCTCTTTCCTATTTATTATTCGAGAATTTTGAGTTATAAGATAACTCCAGTGCCTAATATATAATATATTAGTTATCTTAAAGGGTATAATAATATAAGACTTACCGGTATATACTGTATAGTCTCCTTAATCGACTGTTGTGTAGCCTTGCTTTTACCACCCTTTTAGTATTTACCTAAGGCTAGATACCGCTTAAGTGTATTAGTACCGCTTTGCTTTATACTTAGATAAGGCAATATAACCCTATATATCCGATATATAACTAAAGGTTCGCCTATAATATAATATACTACCTAGTCGAAGTTCTCCTAGATATCTGATATATATTTTGTATCCTATCGTAGCCTTTGTTATATCTTAGTACTACTACCGCGTACTGTGGTACACTACCACTCGATAAACTTTACTTTAGATATATTGTTTATCGCGTTGTAGAGGATAAACTGCTTTCTCCGATCGGGGCCGACGCGTTTAAGAGAGTAATTAAGAATAGCCGGTTAAGTGAACTCGGACTCTATCAGTGAGATAGAAGTCTGTTGGCTGTTAAAGAGACTAGGATCAATATTTAGATTAAGGTTAGGATCAAATATATCGGCGACGTAGAAGAGGTCTAGTTAGGAGCTCGGAGGAAGTAAAGAAGGCCCTGCGGTATAGGCACTAGGTTAGGATATAGTTAATATAATATAAGGGATAATATAACGACTATAGGAGAGTGAGTGATCTGAACTTACAATAGGTAACTTACGACTGTGTAAAACGAGGATTACTAGTAAAAGGGGTACTTTGTATAGATCTGATAGATCGTAAATTGAGTGTAGACCCACTATATATTATAAGCTGATTAGCTATAAGTGTCTTTGTCTATAGGTATACCTATAGGTACGCCCGTAGGTACGCCTATAGGAATATACCTAAACGCCTATCTTAAGTTACAATCGAAGGATTTAAAACTCCCAGAATAATAATATAAGTCTTTGAGTGATATAATTGACAGAATTTAGTGATATAAGCTTATAAAATAAGAATTATACTAATTATCTTTCGATCTACCTATAAGAAATATACCAGAGTAAGAGATAAAGTAGAATCTATAAGTAGTATTTTACTTATAGAAAATACTAGGTATATACCACTGACTTAAATATATATCTTTAAGCTGTTACAGTATAATTTGATAAGTTAATAAAAATACTATACAATATAATATATTTCGATTAAAATTTTATTCCAATTCGTATTATATATATACTAGTTTCTTATATATATAGATATTTCAGTAAAATTTATAGATATTGTAGATTAAAACTGCTATTTTATATAGAGTTAGCAAAACAGGTGTAAATAACAGTTATTTATTATACAAAGTCAGCGAGTTATACGTCTATTTTGGGTGACTTTATACAATGGTGGGTATCGTGGGTATACCCGCCGTGGGTATACCCGTGGGCCTTGGGCGTTATGGACGGGCACTCGAAAATCCAAATAGCCCAAGGCCCACTGTGGACGGGCCTTGGGCACCTCCTAGGTGCCCATGGACGGGCGATGTCGCAGTCTAGTCTTAACCTCCGAATATACAATTGACTAAGCTTAGAAACTCCGCTTCTGTAGAAAGTTATAGGTCCCTAACTCTAAACCCCTTTATACGAAGATTATCTAGACTAGACTGCGACATCGCCCGTCCATGGGCACTAGAAAGTGTCCACGGCCCGTGGGCCTTTTGAAACTTGACGCCCATCGCCCACCGTTATGCAAAATTAATGCAAAAATTACCCTATTAGGCTATTTTATGTATATAAATAGTTCTTGGCAGTATCCACCTTGCCAAGAGTGCCCGCATATGTCTTGGCGACGCTAAAAGTGTCTCCACTTTGGTGGGCGTTGTCGCAGTCTAATCTAGACTATATATAACTCCCTAGTCACTAGATACCTAAGGAGGGAAGAGACCTATACAGTGATTGGCTGTAAGTACTTCTAGCTAAATATATTAATCGATATCCGGAGATTCGTACGAAACTGCGATCTATATAATAGAGTAAAGCTATAGCGAGAACTAAAGCGAGGCCTCCTAAAGCCACTCCTAGTACTAGAACAACTGTAGCGAGATATAGCCCTTAACTTTATCACAGAATTACTACTAAGCGATAACTGCACGAATATTCTAGTAATTATAGACCGGCTAACGAAAGGAGTGATTCTAAGAGCGATAGAGTCTATCTTAGCCGAAGACTCTGTATAGGCGATTATTAATAGCCTCGTACGATAATATAGATTCCTAAGTTCGATCGTCTCGGACCGAGGAACCTAATTTACGAGTATCCTATAGGAACGGGTTTACCAGTTATATAAAGTGATACAACAGTTATCGACAGCTTACTACCCTGAGACCGATAGACAGACAGAACGATATAATAGTATATTAGAGGTATACCTACGTCTCTTTGTACAATTCGAATAAAACGACTGGAAACGCCTACTCCTAATAGCCGAACTTACGCTAAATAGACAAGTCTCTGCAGTAACCGGCGCGAGCCCTTTCTTCCTAACTTACGGCTATAACCTCTCCCTATTTAACCTACCGGTCGAGGA